CCATGTCAGTCCATATCATTTTTTAAAAAAGGTTTTCTAGTGCCAGAAGTTCTAAGTATTTTTATTTATATATGTCTCTGACGTGACATAACTTACTGCAGTCAAATGTAGTATTCAGAGCAACTTTGGCATGGTGAAAATGACACAAATTGTAAAACAGACATGATGGCAGTCATGTGATTACCATAGAAATATGGTATTATTTCACTAGAGCAATTTTTTTGGCATAGTGCAGATGACACAGTGTAAAATAGAAATAGTGGCAGTCTTGTGATTACCAGACGATTTGGGGTCCAATTTGAGAGACAGCTTTTTCAAAACCTAGTGCCCACATCTGTGGTCCCTCAACAGCAATGGCAAATGGTGTGAGAATCAACAGAGACAGCATAGACAGGCAAGCGTAGTAGTTCATCCCACTAACAGACTTCCCCTTCATACCCTTCTTCGAGAATATATTTCTGAATACAAATGCCACATTTGAGATCATAGCCCCCGAGAAACCTAACGTGGACAAACCAACAAATCAGATAAATGATAACCAAAGCAAATTCATAAGCAAGTTGCCTTCAACAGATCAAAACCAACTTAATTGTCGAAGACGCCAGAAAATGCCAAGATACAATTTTATCCATAAGGGAGGTCTCTTAGAAATCTAAAGTGGTTGAGTGTATCGCATAACAATCCTTCCGTTAATTGGAGAATTATCAAACTCGAGAATTCAAAATTACAACAAGAACTACGCCTCAATTACAAGCAAGTAGGATCGGCTATATGAATAATCACTGTCCATGTCGCTTCATTAAAGTTCGTCTGTGTCTAATATTATATAAAATAAACTTAAGAATAAACATAAAAACTACTAGAAGTTCTCTATATTCACTACTAGCATATAAATCTTTGACATGACTAAAACAAAACTCCTAGAAAATATTATACCTAAAGAAAACATACTAACGTGATGTGGAAGTCAGAATTACCCTCAGAAAATGCTGAATTATACTACAGCTGTTACAGCTATGAGTACAAAACATTTCTCTCGTACGAGAAATTTGCCATCAAAGTTGAAAAAGTTTATGTGTATACGAGGATAATGACATCACAAATGTTTTACCACGCGGCAGGCAAGAAAATCAATACATATAATAAGGAAATCAAGTCTTAACCATTAAAAGTTGATTAATTACCAATCCAGTTGAAGTTCAGTTCTGTAAGAGCAGAAAGACCACAGCCACCGATGATGGGAATAAGAGATAAGTAAACGGCCAAAGGGAATGACTCTCCTAAGAGGAACCTTGAAACCAAAACACTAAAAGCAGGTTCACCACTCTTGATGATGTGAGTGAATGACACTGCCACCTTTGACATGCTCACTGTAGCTGCCACATGCCCAATTGTATGTGCAACTGCAACCTAGAATATAGAACATGAAAAAAACAAAGACTGATTAAGACTGTTTGGTATAAAAAAACAAAGCTTTTTTTTTTTATAATGGTAGTATCTAAGCTAGTTTGTGTGCATATCGACTAATCTACGAGTATCTGTGATAGCACAGGTACCGATTAACTGTTGAGCCCCAAAATTTAAGCAGGAAATAAATCACTTAGCATTGAAAAGGTTTTCATCCATAAAAAAACAAAACTTTGTTTTCAGAAAACAATTGGTTTGTACTTCAAAGCCAACAACTTTGTTGTTTTGTGTTCTCTGTCAACAAACCCAGAAATATTTCTCCCAAAATTAAATCCAAACAAAATCAAAAATAAAATTTTGAAACTGGGTTAGTAGGGTTTTTGCCCCTCTGGAGGGGTTAGATCCTTTATTAACCTAAAACCACAAAAATAACCATAAGACTAGATCCCCAGTAATTGAATGAAAACATTCAAAATTAGCCAAACATTAGAAAAACAAATCACAAGTACCACTAGTGACCTAAACACAAGGCATCAAAGAACAAAATCATGGCCACAAAGATCATCAAAATTAGATAGTTGTTGCCTTTAGCCAATTGGGTATCCAAAAATTCAATTTTGCTTACCGGGAAGAGGGTTTTCCAAAATTCAAGATCAGTTTTGGGAGTTTCAGCAATTCTAACAGCCCAAGAAATGAGCATAATAAGTGAACCAGCAGCAAGTGACAACGTTGAAGTTAACCAAGGGAATGGAAAAGCATTCAACACTTTCTTGTTATATATATTAAAGATCACATTCAAGAACCACCACGTAGCAAAATAAACACCGATCTTCACCCTCCTCGCCACTTCAGTTTTGGACTCGGGCCCATCAATCGATTCGGCCCGATCCGCTTCATATGCCTTACACTTAACCAAACAACTCTTTTCTTGATCATGCCCTTTAGATCTCCTCAAAGTTCCAAACTTTTCAACAGAAGAAACATAAATAGGCTTTGAAAGAGATACGCCGGAGTTCTGGCGAGGGTTCATCGCCGGTAAAGGTGGCAAAGGGGAGAAACGGCGTAAAGAAGTCAAAGTTTGAAACTTTGACCGATTAAAATCAGACCCATTGAGTGTAACAGCCGATTGCTTCACTGTTGAGATCATAGTTGCAAAAAAAAAAAAAACTTTGAGCTGGCAAGCGAGATTTTAGATGGGGGTTTTGACTCAAAATTGACAAAAACTTTAAAGATCACAAATAATATAATATCACCAAAAATCAAGATCAAGATTTTACAAAACTTGGAAGGGTTCAGGGCTCTACGTAGAGAGAGCCTGAACAAGCATGCGGCCTCCGTGTGAGTATTTATTTATGTGAAGAAGAGAGAGAGAGAGAGAGAGAGTTTCTGATAAACATAAAACAGAGTGAAATCTTAGTGTTTGTTAACAAAGGATCCTCAGCATGTGATGATCCAAAAGAAAAAAAGTAGGCTTGTATAGAAAAGTAGGGTGGCTGCTTATTTTTGGTTCTTCTATTATAACGCCAACCCTATTATATTCCAAATAGCCTATCATATTTTCTTTTATTCTTCCTTGCTCTTTTCAAATAAATTGAAAATAAAGTTGGTTGGTGCAATCCAAGATTTTCATTTAATGGGTGTTGAGTGTTGACCATGTTGTGAAAATTTAGATATCGATTCTAGTGCAACATCGAAGATTTATGATGGAAGTGTCGAGTTAGAATCATAAAATATTACTAATAATTTTTTTGAAGGGAGCACTTTAATATTCCTAATAAGCATAACCCAAGCAAATTTAAATTAATTGGACCGAGAAGTTTCAAGATTCGAACACCAAAGGGTTAAATTGGAAAAATAAACCATGGTATACTTATTCATTTATGACCAACTAGTAGAAATAAAGAAATAGTGTCTCAGAGTATACCAAAAGAAAAAAAGTGACTTACTTTTTTCTTAAGTACGGAGCACCTATGAGGTGAGGAAAAAAAAAAGGTACTGAGAACCTAACGTTCTATTGACCTCTCACAAGATTTAAAATCTTCAAATTAATTTTAAAAAGTTTAATACCTCAAACAACTCCAGCAATTATTTATAAGCTTCAAATATAAACAAACATACTTTAAAATATGATGGGATAAGATATTCCCTAATCAAACAACTCAATTATTTTCTCTTCCTCAACTCAACAATTATTTACAAGGACTAGGGGAACTTGGCCTTTAAGTTTGCAATTTTCAATATGATGTCGAATTGTAGTTGTCTTAAGGTAGATATTAGGATTTATACCTTCTTTAGCAACAACAGTGTTTATACCTTCTTTAGCACGCTTGGTAGTTTGGAAGTTATAAAAATTTTAACATGCATTCTATCACTAATAAATATTGTTACAATAGGGAATAGTAAAGGAAAAAGGGATAAAGAGGGCGATGAAAATTGAACTCACACATCGATTCACAAACTTTTTCGGATACCATTAAACTGTAAATTTACTTTACTAACAATATATAAGCCTTCACAAAGACAGCCCGTAACTGTCAAACTTTACCCACACACCTACTCGCAGAGGAAGTTTGAAGAGTAGGCAAAGGGGCCACACCATGTGTTTGGTGGAGTTGATTTTGCAGCATTTCCATTATTATAATTAGTGTTATTATCAATAAAAAATAGTCCCATTCTTTTATAATGACAATGATAATCAAAAGGGCACTAAACTGCTTTGTTAATAAGGACATACATAATTATTTATTGAGTGCAAACTTTGACCTTTCCTCATTAAAAAAAGGATTTTCTGAAATGGCATATTCCTGCTAGATTATGTAAATGCTGTGTCATATTAATAAATGTACAGACGGAGAACTTTTGCAGGTCCCTTGTCTGGTTTTCTCTATTGGGGACACTAATTCTTAAGTGGCTTTTTCTTGGAATAAAAAGACATTTTCATGGCACGACAATTGTATACTATAATAACAACCCTCCACTGCAGTTACAAGTCAAGAAGGAAAAATGCTTTTCTGAAAGCATTATTGGGCTCCTCTCTCTTTATGCTTTTCCTTTCCTTTCCCAACGCAACCACCAAAGCAGTATTGACTCTTTTCTATAATAGTGGTGTCGGAATAGTTTCTACCCATCACGACTATTCATTAGGTATATGCTGCCTTTTATCGGAATAGAAGAACTCACCTAGCATATTTTTTGCTCCCTATTCAAATTTAAACTTTAATCTTACATGATTTTCACTCACTTAATTAAACGCTAAAGGCAAAAGATATTAGTGACTATGTAGAAAGGCAACACATTTCATACTACAAATTAGCAATATCTAAGGTCTAAATACATTTCATACTAGAAATTAGCATTATCTAAGGTCTAAGTACTAAGAAGATGGACCAACGAAAAGTAGAGAGATGTGTCCCCTATGAATACTCACCTTCTCTTATATTTTATATTTTATATATATATTTTTAATATTCTGACATGCCTGTAAAGAGGGCGTATCAGAAGAGTATCCCCTTGAAAAAAACTCAATTTCTTCAATTGTGAAACAGAACATAATGCAAAAGTTTGAAATGTTAAAACACACAAAATAGCAGACATAGGAACTTGATCAATGCATGTGTAACTTTCTCTCCCAAAAACCAAACTATGATACAATATTTCCCCTATTCTTACTGTTCACATGACTAAGTAGATTTACAATGTTTGATTCCTTCTGAATAAAGAAAACAATCACAAAATCATCATCCTAGCATCTATGCCTATCCTCACAAAATAAAAGACAAAAGAGGTCAAAGGTTCCTTAGCTAAGCTAACTGTTTACCTGTTCCAATACAGTCAGATTCCACTACTCCAAAAAGACCTTTAAAGATTTGTGACCTAGGTGCCAAAAGAAGTTCCAACTGATTTACATGAACCTGGAGACGGCATTACCAAAAACAATAACTGATGTATGAAGTAGGACAAGCATACTAAAGCATGGTGTTGCACTCATAATAGGAATCAAAAGATCATAGCCAGCGATCTGCAAGAGCCGCAACAAATGCTTGCAAACTAACTGCTTGTAGAAAACTGCATCACATACTCCTACGATAAGATGAATAAAGCATAAAAATGTTACTATCAGGTTTACACTTTACACACAATAACATGAATGTGTTTCTAAAGTCGATGGCTTTTGAATGCAATACTGCAGCACTACCAAGTGTCGGAAAGAAGAAACCATCAGATGATCTAACTGTCAACAGATTTAATATTAAAGGAGCACAAGACCTTTCAAAACATATGAAAGATCAAAAGGCAAACCACCCTGATCTTGCAGAGCAAGCATGAGTTTGATATCGAAATAGGTTTACTTACTACATTAAGAATTTTAAGTGTAACATGAAATTCGTCAAAGTACAAGTTAAATTTAAATTGACAGATTCTTTTGGGTAGCTGAAACAGAAGAAAAATCAAATTTCAACAGGCCCCAAAAGGAGAATTTCATATTGCAATTACTCTTGCCTTTAACTACTTGAGGAAAGAAGAAATTCCTTGATGTTTCCAGTCGTAGAAGTCCAAACAGGTTCTAGTTCAACAATTTCTTAGCAACACTCTGTTCTTTTAAATAAGAAATCCCCTGAATGTGCATCCTAACTACAGAAACCAGATATACAATAAGCAAATACAGCTCCCATTTATCTATTTATAATAGTAATCCAATTTAATAGTCTTATGTGCAGAAGTTCAGTTAAAGCTGTCGAAAGATGGAACAATTAGGTCTAAAACTCTGAATATAATTGTCCAGCCAAACCTAACTCTATTGACACAATGAGCTTTTTGTGCAAGCACGTGCAAATCTTTATATACTTATATAAAGAGTCATATTTTCATCTGGCGACCAATAGATTCACAGACCAAAGCATCTGCAAATTAATGGTAGGCTAGAAACCCGTGTTTTAGCCATAGTATTGCACTCTAATTACTGCATTTTACGTGTGTTTGAGCTTAAACGATAGTGATTTTCACTTATTATCCATTATTATGCCTTGTAGGAATTGATTCTGAGCTATTAAGGTAATCTGGAGCTATTTCGAACAAATTGGAGCTTTGAAGTCTGAGTAGAACCCCAAGCAATTAAGCCGAGATCACGTTCGAGGATTGAGGACCAAGTCCAGATGTTAAAAACTGAATCAACGACTTCACTCTAAGAAAACTGCACAGCCGCGCCGCGCAGTGCAAAATATGCCTAGATTTTGTTTTGTCGATGTGTTCTGGAAAATGCCACAAGCGCGTTAGTATAAAATTTTTAGAGTACTTTCCTATTTCGGCTAAAAAAAGGATAGTTTCGTCAGTTTTTGTTTTGGAGGACGGCTTAAATGCACCAAAAACACCATTTTACAGTATCTTGAGACCGAGAGAAGATTGGAGAGCTACCCAAGGAAGAAGACTCAAGAATTCATCAAGATTCCAATCTATAGTCGGTGCAATACGAGAGTTTGTATCAAATCTTTAGAATTGATGTTTTCTTTGTTCTTAAACTTATTTGAGATATCTTACTCCATTGCTATAGAGTAATTTCTATTTGGGTGTTGATAGATAAGGTGTTTCAATAACTTGATTAGGGATTCGATTCTTGATAATTGCTAGAATTAATTGATGGAGCTTGATATGTATTGTGGAGTTATTTAATATTTTGCTTAATCGAAAGAGGAGTTTGATATTAAATTTCTTCACATCTTATGCTCTAGTTTAATTTCATGATTCAAATAGGTAATCAAAGGAGCCTCTTGAATTGTTATTTGAACTAGAAAATAGGGAATATTCATGAGAAATTACCCTTTAGATCATAAATATCATTTTTATTGTTGCAATTATTTACCATGCTTCAATTGGGTTAATTACCGAAACTAATGTTTAATCGAAAGAGGAATATTAACTTCAAGTGTAATCTGATAATCGGTTGAATTCGTAAGAATCAATGTATTATAGAGTAAATTAACTCAATAATTGAATCCTGAGCCAGTTATCGTGCACATATCTAGTCAATTACCCTTATTTTCCTTATTAATATTTCTTTGTGCTCACTTACTATCTTTAGTGATCAATTGTTATTTGCTTAAACTTTAATAGTAATTGTTAATTTTCCTGGATAGTAATCAACTGGAGATTATTCAAACACTGTTTAATTCTAATCCATGTGGAGACAATAGTTAATCTATACTATCTTTGACTAGCGAGCACAAATTTAAGTGTGTGTTTTGCGCTAGTCACAAATCTTTATATACTATATAAAGAGCCATATTTTCATTTGGGAACCAATAGATTCACAAAATTAGGGATAAAGAGTGATCTTATTTTGACCTGGATAGCAACTAACATAAGTAGTGTAAAATGATCTTTAAATGGAGATTAACAGGAAAGCATATCTGTACTTCTAGTTCTATGTGATTTTCAAGCACTAGCTACTTTGTCACAGAAAAGTTAAATTAACTCCTGGATAGATGCACCTCTATGATATTCTGGAACATGCATAACCCTATCCTCCTTTTGTTTTCCCTACTTATAACTAACCCCTTGCAAGTTAACTCATGAATAGTCCATGGAAAAATGACCTTCTGAAAATGACAAGAAATTAAGCATTCATCATTCCTTTCTTGGTAAAACTCAAATTCATATCTCAAAGGGAAGAATCTGAGATTTTAAACTCATTACTTGTGCTGAGCACTCTGATTCAGATATTTAGCTAGAAAATTGATTGATGATCAAAGCAGAAGGGAAAAAAAGATGCCACAGCTCTGCATGAAAAAGCAAAATGACAAGGAAAAGCTATGAAGCTTCTTGATGGAAAAGGAACTCACAGGTAAAGGCTCTTTGAGGTTTTACATAAACTTGATAGCACAAGACATTGATCCCCTGTGAAGACTTTGCAGTTGATCTTTAACTTCATTTTGCTTCTTTGGATCCCCGAAACGTCTCTTTGAACACATTATGTTCAGCTTCTCCAAAACTATTGTGTTTTTCACCAAATTTCTTAAAAAAGAAATTTCTGTGTTATTACCATGAAAATTGCTGTATGTTACTGTTTTGAGACTAGACAAGAAACAGGACGGTACATATCTCAAGTTCCAGTCATCTTCACAGAGGCGCATGCAGGGGGCAAGTCCCTGAATGGAAAGAAAAATGAAAAATAAAAAATAACTCATATAACTTGAAACGAATTTATAAGCAAGTCCATAATGCCAAAGGTATCTCTACTTCAGAAAAATGAAGTGATTGCAACTTTGGCAGACATTGGAGCAGTTCCTTCAATGGTCCAATCGTATGATTTTCAAGTTCCATACTCAACTCCAAATGCATCAAGTTATAAAATACTGGAAGTCGGTCTTTCTCTATGTCTGCGATAAAGAGAGACTTGCCAAGCAACAAGTACGATCACATAAAAGGAAAAGAAAAGAGATCAGTAACGCATATTTAGACATTTAACATTCTAGACTGTCAAGTTCTGTAGCTAATTCCGTCCTGTTAGTAATTACCTCAATAGCCCTGCTAGATATTCTCGCAGCGTTAATTTTGTGTAGTCCTCTAAAGAGCTTAACAGCACGAAAAGCAATTTCATTTCGCTTCTCATAGAGAATTGGGATGTGAATGGATGCATAGACGGAGGGCGATAGATTATACAAATATATCTCATTTGAGAGATAACCACTGTACTTAAGGAAACTAAGACTTGATGCATCAATCTTGATTTCGCAGCCATTTAGATCATCAGTGGAGCCAAAGAAAGGCAAATCATCAATTGTCAAACTCTTTAATGTAGAGATTGAAATTGCAACATGCTTCAAGTTCATCCATTCACAATCTAATATAGCCAACTCTCGAAGCATAGGGCAACCAGAAAACAGCCTCTGGGTTGAGCTATCATCCCGAAATGTGACAAGACATAGGTGCAACGTTCTAAGGAAAGGAAAGAAAGTACTAGCAGGTAGTTCAAGTACACAATTCATTTCAAGTTTTAGAGAAGTAAGTGTCTTGCTACTGAAAACACATTGAGGCAACATAAAAGGCTCTTCTACAAAAAGGCAAAGATCAAGCTCTTTAACATTATGCCTAATAGCAGCTAAAATCCATGAACAAACATGAGAGGCACTGAAGCAAACACGGCAGGAAAGGCGAAACTTTTTTATGTCTGATTCTTCTCGAAGTTGAAGAATTCTCTGGACAAAGTGCATGAAACAAGTAACATTCACAGGATAACCAAAAATCCCACTTGAGTAGAGCAATGAGTCATCAAAGTCAATGTTTTCAACACAAGTCCAAAGATTCTTCCACCTTGTTGATAGTATACATGTCCCTAGAACATCTCTGGTAGGAAGATATGAAAGAATGTGATGAAGAATAGAATCAGGTAAATTGCTGATCTTATCTTCTCTGTTATCAATGTTATGCACTTCCAAAGCATTCTGCCGTTTGAAACTGTTAATTGTGTGCCACCTACTCCCTGTACCGGCAAAAAAGCAGTTATTAGGTCGAACATAGCAGTAAAGAAGTAGAAATGGACGAACATCAATGCAAGTAGAAGCATAAGACTCTCGTTAGTTAATGTGTGGAAACCAAATCAAAGAAGACTTGGATCTCTAACATCATCAATGATTTACTTTGCAGTCCGACAATCAAAGTATTTACAAGTTCGTAAAGACATCCAAATCCTATCTTAAATGAGAAACAAGAAGAATCCATTATCAACCTAATGCATTAGAAGTTCTCACTAATGAATCACGACGTTTCAATGAAATAGACCCCTTCTCCAACGGAAGAAGGAAACATTACAGTTGATATGTGATGATATCAACAATAGAAGAATCCCACTTGGCCATAATTGGGACAAGGTAGGGGAAGGCAATATAATGGGCATAAGATCTGTAACACCAAAATTTGGATTGGATCAGCTGAAAACCAGTTCAGCCGAATCGTAGGCTAGTTTAGCTGAGCTGAGTAGCTCGACCGAGCCTTAGGGCAGCTCATCAATCCAAGGACTACTTCAACTGAGACGAACACCAGTTCAGCCAAGATGCAGAGTTGAAGATAAAACCTTTGAACCCATGTCAACCAATCAACCAGATAATGAATTTTGAGTCTTCATTGTGACAGGTTAAGCTTAAGATGAGTCTGAGTCAACTAGATTAGCCTGAATTTGAACACACCTAGACTGAACTAAGTCCAAGGAGTTAGGCCAGAGAAACAATCAAGATCCAAGTTACCGTGGGAAAAGCTAACATATTTGACCAGAAAAACTTATAAGCAAAGGATCTAGTTAGTAACTAACTTCCCATGTACTGAGGGTCAAGGAACAAACCAGTCACTTGATGCAATCCTTAAAATACAGGAAAGTCAGCTGAGCAAACTATCAATTATCGCCACAACATGGGGGCATAATCTGCTCAGACTTAACGAACTCGTCTAGAAGAATGTGTACAAATTGTTAGGATAACTAATTTCCATCTCTAACTCTATAAATATATAAACTTATCATTTATCAACAACTTTTACAATAGGACATCATCCATCCAACACAACACATCGACAACCCATGTTATCCTTTTTTGGTCAATTTTATTCCATGCAGTTTATTTTCGTTTTCCATCTTACATCCAAGCATTTACAACTTTCACTTGCACACTTTCTTAAAAGTTCATCCCCTCTTTAGTCTAGTCCTATTTAACAACCTTAATTTTCTTCCACACTAGTGTTGCAACTTGTACTTGCAAGTACCTTACAGGAAGAGATCTGTTAAACTCTCACATTGATGAAGGGAATGAGTTGTTGTCACCTTATATATGTCTTGGATAATCCTCAACTTATGAACTAATTTTTAAGGTCGAGTTAGACCAAAAATTCATTTTCTTCTTTACATGTTACCAGAGCCATACTCATCCCTATTTTTAGTTTACCCAATGTTGGACTCTCATGCACATATCCCGTGTTGGGTGTGTGGCAGTGTAAGAGTCCCACATTGGTCTCCTTCCTTACATATCTTATGGTCTAGAACAATATATTCTCACCTTATGAGCTACCAATAGTTGGGAATTAGGCCCAAGGTTCATTTCTAGTCAAAGGAATAGAGTCTCTTCTCCATAGGAATCATCACAAAATTTTGGGAATCATTAACATGTGATTCGGGTACAGTCTACAGAGCTAACTATGCTCAATCATCTAATACACTTCGCCAAGAAAAGATCAAATGTATCTCAAGAAAACCACAATCAACAGCGGCAATTGAAAAAGCTAAAGAAAGAACCACCTTTACTTTTAAAAAATGGAAAAAAAGAAGTAGAAAATAAAAGACAAATATAAGCTATATGCAATTCGATAGTAGCATCAACAACCCCAGAAGCCATAACCCAAAAAGAAAACAGAGAAGAGAGTGAAAGGAGGAGCTCACTAGTGATCATAGTGGATATTTGACCCGACAAACGAACCGAATGCCTTCTTTAGCGGCGAAGGTTTGTTATCACAGAGAAGCCTGAACCCGGCTACATCCGAGTCGGTGTGTGCGCGTATCGTCAGACGTCAATCGTGTAACGCCTTCAGTAGTAATGATGGGAAACACGCTTTCGTCACGTGATCCAAAATTCTGTACATTTGACAAATCCTGCTTCTTACACTTGGATGGCGCCAGTTTGGTTTCTCTTCTTTTTTTATTTTTGGGTACAATTTTTTGGGGAGCGTTCTTATAGAAAAGATATCATAAAAACTCTCATTTCAAAGAAGTTTTCATATTATTGGAATAATTGGCATAATACATAAAAAATCCAAATGTCGGTTTTTTATTTGTTTTGTAAATTTCAAGTCACTTTTGATTAAGAAATGAAAAAAAACTAGTTCAAGCATTAGCAAAAGTAGCGGGGGAAATGCAATGCTATGCAGTATATAGTAGTATTACTGCTTTAACAAAGAAACTTAACTCGGGAATATTTAGGGAGAATTGTTTATGCTAATCATTGCGAAGTGTGCTCATAAAGTTAAGAATTAGTCATGTAAATTAAAATGTATGACAAAATAAAAGAAAGTGTAGTCATCATCAAGGGTGTGTTTGGTATAACAGAAAATATTTTCCGTAGAAAATGAAAACAAGAAGTAATCTTACTCATTTTCGTTATTTGATACGCAAATTAAGGAAAATAATTTTCAAGAGTATTTATAAATAATTTAGATATAATAAACATGAAGCCATAAACTTTCGAACCAACAACCTTCCGAACAAACAAATTCCATAAACTTCCGTACCGCTAAACTTTCGAACTCGTAAACTCTATAATTTCTAAACTCGCAAACATCCAAACACATAAACCTCTGAACTCATAACTTTAGAACTCGTAAAATTTTGAATCTGTAAGCTGAAAAATAAAAAAATCAGAAGTGAAAATATATNGACGAAAAAGAAAAAAAAATGAAATATGAAAAAGAAAGAAAAACTTTTTGGAGATGGGTAGCGAGAGAAAGGAGAGAGGGTTTAGATGTGAGGGTAGTGGTAGTTTTTGAAAAATATTTTTTTAACTTTTTACATGGAAGTCATTTTCAAAAATATATGATATGCAGGAAAATATTTTCTAAATTATTTTGTCCAACCAAAATATTTTCGGTGCGCACACACAAGTGATATTTCTTTATACCTCCACTCTATGGCCACCGCCTGCAGCTGCAAAACTATGTGACATATGCGTCGATTTAAAATACAAACAAATGCGCATCCGGGGAATCGAACCCCGGTCAGTACCGTGGGAGGGTACTATGATACCACTACACCAGATGCGCTTGCATGCCGTTGCAGCTGCTTGAGTTATATTTGACAAAGACAGTTTTCGTAATTTATAGTGATTCGGTTGCCTAGGCTTTTGAAACCCATACTGGAATAAGTTATAAAAATAGCTTGTGGGATTCGGAGCTATTGGATACTCTTAGTTTCAAAGGGTAGAGACACATTGAAAAATGTTTCTACCTAACCAATTATCGTCCAAATTTTATATTTTACAACTATTTTTTGTGTCATTTGTATACATACTAAATTTAAGTGACATAAAGGAGTATAAAGCTAGTCCTCCCTAAGTAATCGGCCAAGATAATTTTAACTCAACATATAACAACATCCGAAAGGGGCATCATAATTGGCTCAAGAGCTTTTAATGTTTCGTATAACTTTTAATATTCAACAAAAGTCAGAACTAGTAACATAAAAAGTTATTAGGGCAATGAATGTCACATTCTTCATTAATCGCGTAATCACATAGTTTATATACTATATACCAACAAATTTTATTAACAGATTGTTTGGATCGTTGTTACCTATTGTATCGTATTGTATTGTTTTCCCAAAACAATGTTTGTTTTGATTGTTTAGTTAAAACTGGTTGTATTGTATTGTTAAATCAATTGTTCCGGACAATGAAAAGTCCCGTTTTTTTAAACAACCGATTTGGTGTGGTGGGATCGTTTCCTATTTTTCTTTCTAATTATTCTCTAACTTATTACTCTATAATTCTATTTTACCCTTTACCTTTTTCTATTTTAAATAATAGCAAAATCTCTTTCTCGTATAATTTTATAATAGAATTCTACGTGAAGTCTAATAACCTATATAAATTCTCAAAGACAGCATCCCAGATATAAGCTATATACGTGAAATCTAATAACGTGAAAATCTCGTTCCTTCTGTCGCTTCCAAATTCTTCACGTATAGGTTTTCCCTAACTTTTATTTTATTCTTTCTTCTACTTTGATTTGTAATTCCAATTCTAATTACTTTATCTCCAATTAGCTTTATGATATTGGTTGTTAGGAAATATTACTTATGATCTAAATTCTAAATGGAGTCTACTTAACATTTTTTATTTTATTATTATGATCTAATTATGAACATAGTGTACTTATTATTATTTTTAATATTATTAACTTGTTCCACTAATTTCGATAGGATTTGCATGAATTTAATTACTTATCTTATATATAAGACATAATTGGTGATAAATTAGTAGAAAGTGGTTTTCTTAAATAATTTTATGTGTAATTCTTGATAAATTAAATATTTAAAATAATTGAGGGTATTTTAGTAAACTTATCAGTTACTGTACAGTACGATACAGTCAAACCAAACAGCAAAATATTATTCAACAATAATAAATAATATTGTCTATCCAAATATTGTATTCATAAAATAATATGATACAATACAATACAGTACAATACGATACTGTCTACTGTCGAAACTGATTTCGGCCTTCGTACGAGTAATCGAGATGGGAACATAATGGACCGTAGAAAGTTTTCATAATATCGATACGGGATCCGAAGAAGGCACAAACGAGCTTCAAATTTCAGGGACATGTCAAATACCGAACTCGAAATCATTATCGAGCTCGGGTCCGAATCGAATTATGATGAGATGTGATGGAATCGAGCTTAAGGGTCAGAGGCCAACCAATACCGAGCCCAAGTCATTATCGGACCCCGAATAGGCATCGATCTCATCTCAAACCCGCATCGATCTCCAAAACTGGAAACCGACCAATATCGACCAATACCGAGTCCGATCAAGATCGAGCTCATAGACAAGAGTCGTTGCAGCCGCACTAAGGGAGAGAATCTCGGCGAAAATTAGGGAAAAGCTGATTTATTATGGGTTCCCCACTATTTATTTTTAATTATATCTAAAGTAGGATCCCCCCACTATAAAAGGAATGGTTATATTTCTGTAAAACAAAGGAGAAAAGTTTTGCATACATTGTGACTCACATATCATACACTCCCATATTGAAGAATTATCTTTTTTTAGCTTCATAGATTGATTCATCTTGCTTAATCCATAAATCATCCTCTTTTCAACTTTTGCTTATTTTTTATTCTTTACAGTCAATATTTGATATTTCTATTTACTCTTACGATTTGTGTCAAGTTATACCACATACCCTTAGAACTACGTACAAATTCAACTCTATCCGTTTTTTGGATAAACAGTTTGGCGCCCACCATGGGGCTAAGGATAACAGTGGTTATTTGATACGAATCCGCAAAACACGCCCTTTTATGCTTGTTTCCGGAAGTGTCTTTGATTTCGGATTAGCAACGACGTGCTATCAATTAAATGGCCTTACCTATTAACAACGAAGCTGGTCTTCAAGGTGAGAACAACAACTTGACGCCCAGGACCGAAAGATCGCTTGTCGACGCCATTGGAGCTCAAGTCGAAGTGCCATTAGACGTTGATTCACATGTGGCCATTGAGGCAAACCTACATTCTGAACCTGAAAATAACATTTATGGTGGCACTCGATCTGCAGCTCGAGATACCCATAACGTCGAGGAAAATGACATCAGCTTGCGTATGATTTTCGAAATGTTGCAAGCTCAACGGGCAGCAATAGCTCAGTTGCAGAGTCAAACCTAGATACCGAGCAGGCCGGAGCCCAGTCCACCCCGAGAAATCGCCCACAGAATGGAACCAGCTATAGTAAGGTCAAATGAGCAAGAGTTGGGGACTAATCCCAAAATTGCTAAGATGTTCGAAGAACTGACCAAACGAATAGAATCAGGAGAAAGGATGATCAAAGCAAACGACAAAAGGTGGAAACATATAACTCCAAGGTTGATCAGATCCCGGGGGCATCACCGATATTGAAGGGTTTAGATTCCAAAAAATTCGTACAAAAGCCTTTCCCCCTAGCGTGACTCCTAAATCGATCCCAAAGAAATTCCGCATGCATGAGATTCCTAAATATAACGGAACTACCGACCCCAACGAATATGTCACCTCTTACACATGTGCCATTAAAGGGAACGACCTAGAGGACGCTAGAATCGAATCTGTATTATTGAAGAAATTCGGTGAAACCCTGTCAAAGGGAGCAATGATATGGTATTATAATTTACCATCTAATTCTATCGATTCTTTTGCTATGCTTGTATATTCCTTCGTAAAAGCACATGCCGGGGCCATAAAGGTCGAGACCAGGAAGTCAGACTTATTCAAGATAAAACAAAAGGATAACGAGATGCTAAGGGACTTCGTATCTCATTTTCAAATGGAACGAATGGATATGCCACCAGTCACAGACGATTGGGTTGTTTAGGCTTTTACTCAAGGTTTGAACGAACGAAGTTCGATGGCTTCACGGCGGTTGAAGCATAACCTGATCGAGTACCCAACTATTACTTGGGCCAACATGCATAATCGGTACCAGACAAAAATTAGAGTCGAAGACGATTAGTTGGGTTTTGAACCCGCTGCTAGAAGGGACATCAATCGAGAACAAGGTCCGACCAGGTACCGATACTGACCATATAGTGGAAACCACAGGATCAATGAATCGAGACGTAACCCCGGACAAGGCAATAAAAGAAGTGATCGAGGTCAAGGGTCTCGGGGGCTGATGAACAGAAATGGGATCGACAGGCCTATCGGACCTAAGGAAGCACCACGATTATCAGAGTATAACTTCAGCAACGATGCATCTGCCATCGTGTCGGCTATCGGACGTATCAAAGACACTAAATGGCCTCGACCCATGCAGACCGATCCTGCCCAGAGGAACCCCAATCAAATGTGCAAATATCATGGTACTCATGGCCACAAAACGGAAGATTGTAGACAACTAAGAGAAGAGGTAGCCCGGTTATTCAATAAAGGGCACCTTCGAGAATTG